TATTTGATTAGCTTCTAAGTTAACTAGGCTACTTCATGGCTGAAATGTAGTAGATGTGTACTCGAGCAAATATTTCTGTTGTAAAATTAAGGCAAGAGTACTGAACTAGAGTCATTTTTTTGTTGCTGTGTTGGTAAGGCATGTCATGGTTTTACCTTTCAAAAGGTTTAATATTGCTGCCATTGAACTTAGAAGGCTCTGCCTGTCAGTGCCTAAGCTCATTACATAAGGTTAAATACCTCAACTTTAGCTTAAGCAGGAATAGATTTTAAAAGTTACACATCATGACTAAGGAATTACTGCTATGTTTTACTTCCCAAATATATCTTTCAGCTTGATCCTTTTGAAGTGCAAAATGTTGTAGAAGTTCCCATGTGCAGAGTGCATCTACTGTGCAGTGGCTGTAGGGGTAATTCCTAAGCTTATGGTTCATTCTCAGCATTTCTTCCGTTTTTTCTTTTAGTAGTCATTAGAGTCATGTATCCATGATTCTACAAGGAACAGATTATAATAGTAAAACAATAGTAAGTACATATTTTAAAGGATTTCTCAAAGGTGTAAAATAGGTTGGATACTATTCTTTCAAGTATGAACAATAACCTTCTTGTGATTCTTGTTGGACTATTGTGTGCCGATTGTGCCATGCCCATTCCACAGCTTTAACTTTATATAGAAAATACTGTATCCAAATAATTGATTTTCAAACAGCATAACTCTTAAACTTAAGAATGAAAGATCCAGATATTGAATACTCAGTGCTTCTACTGTTTGTGCCTATTTGGGGAAGGAAAAATCAATTGCAATAAGAATGCATTTCAGTGATTTGCCGTCTCTGCTCCTTTACTGGCAGTGGCTGAATTCCTGCACCACTGTTGTGAGCAATGAACCATGCATTGCCTACCTCTTTCCAGTTCCTCCTGGCTGCTCTGTGTGCTTGTCTTTGCACAGATAGCAGCTAGAGGAAAAGGTTTAAAATGGGGAAAGGAATATTAGCCCTATTTTTTCCTAACATTGTGGCTCTTCTTTCTTTCACAGATTCCCTTAGCTAAGAAACTTTCCACTACTTATGGCCTTTTTATATGATTAACAGAAAACAAAACTCCTAACAACTCATATTTTCCATTTTACAACAGTCCAACCATGCCACAGATATTTTCCATTCTCAGGCTTGATATCCTACAGATGCGGAATTAAAACTCCTTACATGTTGTGGGAATGCTGGAATTGTATATAGGTGTTTTGCCTCCCATGACTTTCAGCCACACTGAGCTTAGAACAAGCTCACCATGCCAACACTTTTGTGCACTATAATACAGATAAAACTTTTCTGTAAAATTAAATAGAAATCACCGTCATTTACAGATTACTTTTCCAAATTCCTTCTTTTGCTTAGAGAGCAACAGGAATAGAGCAAGAAATGTTGGAGTACAAAAGCAGTAAAACCTAAGTTGGTAAAAGTCTGAAACCTCAAGTTCTCTTTGTAGTTCCATTCCCWATGAAAAAATATATTGCATAAATAAGTCCCTGGTACAGGGTTTAAGACTTGGATGGATGACTGGAAATTAAGGGCTTGCTTTCATTTAAACTCTGTCAGATATAAGCAGAAGATGCTATTCTTCAAAGTAATTTCACTTATGAAAGCAGTTTTTTGATATAGAAAGTTCACAAATAAATATAACAAGGAAAAGGTTTTTCCTGAGGAAATATTTATTTTGATGCTGTGATTTAATATCAATCAAATATTTATCAAATCTATTCCATTTACTGAAAATAGACTGTGGTCTTAGGAAAGAAGATGCATGAATGAGTGACTTGTTTGGAAGTGAATGAGTCTTTTAAGGAAGACTCATTAATATTGGGTATGTTGATTTCTACTTATGTGCATTCTATCTCTTTCTTTCCAAAAGATGTCTTTTCCAGGATATGGCATGGCTGATTCATTAGAGCAGATCTTTTTCTTTAGGTTTTTATTTATGAAAAAGTCCTGTCAGCAAATACAGATTTGATCTATATTTATTACAATGTCACCTCTTTAGAAACAGAGATTAACCGTTAACAGAGCTTTGCTGAGAGAAGTGGCAAGTTTGGCAAGTTCTGATCACTCAAAGTTAATTTAATCATGCAACTTCTTGTTAAAGCAGTTTCAAGCAGTTTCACAAAAGAAACTCTTATGCCATCTATAGTGGCATTTTTTTATTTATGTCACCTTTTCCCCAGGTAAATGAAACTTACTCCTGCCACAAACATGCCATGTGTTGATGATTATCTGCCTTCATTTGGAGCATTTGAGTATGGCTGTACTATTCTTTTTCCTTTGGTGCACAATTCAACACCTCAACAATAGTTGAGTGGATATATTACATTACTGTTGAGATAGATGTGACAAAGGGAATATAATTCCCTTTTCTAAAAACAAAAAACAAACAGAAAAACAGAACACAGTAGCAAATATTGTCAAGGCCATCAGAATCTTAATTTCCTAAGGCTGAAGACATTGCTAGGAACAATTTGGCACACTGGCTCATGGTGAATTTCATAGGCTTTGAATGATATGGATCATTTTTGTTTATTTATTATGAATTTTTTAGAAGTGTTTAAGTGATACCTAAGTGTTTACATGAGAAAGAAAGAAATGGGAGTTTACAATATATCCTTTCTTTTTTTTTTTTTTCCTCTGCCTTGCCTTGCGTTCTCTGTGATTGAGGTTGGTGAATTTTGTCTGGCATGGCAGACCATCATTTGCTCCGTCTCTTGAATTACTGGATTTGTTTCCTTCAAAGGGTTTCATAGTCATTGCTTTTCCGAGCTGTAATAATGTAATTATACTGCTTATTAGATATGCACTGCTACTATAAATAGTGGATTGTAGGTGAAGGTAAGAGCCAAGAATGCCTGTGTTGAAGTCCAGTCTTGCCATTGTTTCAGTAGCCTTGTGCAACTCACGTGATCTTTCATTGTTGTATTTTCTCCATTTGCAAAATACGATGTGACATCTATCCTCTCTAGGGCTCTGAGCTCAGGAAAAGTTTACTAGGATGTACATGGCACCTATAAAATTGTGCCATATGAATACCTCCTATCTCTTATTTAGCACAAGCTGTGAAGTTATGGAGCATTTGAGTTCCACTTCTACTGCAGCATATATTTGGGCTAGCTGATAATAGCGTTATTTGCTGTCCGGACTGAACTTCAGTAACCCTTTCCATATCTTCTCTACTGAAATAGAGACCTTGTCAGGGAGAGCATATAGTCTATTAACCTTGTGTGGATTGAGTACCATTGCCCTCTGTTGGACGGTACTAAACTTGTCTAAGCGCTTATGTCACTGTTATAACTGGAATGGTAGACTCTGAAAGAGCTCAATAAATTTACTTCAGGAATTTAATTCATTTTTTTTTTTAAATATAGTTTCTCTTTGGTACTTGGGCACTTCTAGATCTTCTCTTTCCACAGCCATGAACAGTGCTCCAGTGAACGCTGGAGCAAATAATTGCAGATATGACTATTTATGGACCTGACTAAGCAGTTCACCCAGTGTGAATTTTGTAGCTGTATCTTCATCAGCTCAGGAAACAGAAACATCTAAAGCTATGGGCAATACAGCTAAGAGCACAGCTCAAGTTTTTGGGGAAAAAATGAAGAGTAAAAAGCACAGTGATATTCTGTAAGCAAGGCTGAAGTGCTCAGTGCAAACGGAGAGAATAGGTTAAATTCTTTAGCTAGTTTGTTGCAGATGTAGAGGGTTACCTGAGTTTTTCACAATCGTAAGTATCTACAACATATTAGTCTGTTTAACTGTTTCATAAAGTAAGATGAAAAATTAGTTTTCTTTTATTTTCATGTGTTGGTTAAGACAGTGAGTCTTATCTTCCAGTGTGGGTTTGTACAGGGCCACGTACTTGTCAGGTAATCCAAGGCTTGCAGCGGTCCCTACAGAGTGGAAAAACACAAGCAAAGGAACCTACTATGTCCTGCAGTCTGATATTAATGTTGGCTTCCACTTCTCTGCAGCACAGATTTTTTGGATTTTTCTCTCTCATTCATTGCCTGTCTCACATTTTCTCTGGCTTATGAGCATTCTGTGTAGATGGGGGCAACTAGTTGAGAACTTAGCCATAAATCATTGTTATGTTCTCTGCCTTCTGTTACACATTAAATAAAGTTTATGGTAGAGTTTTGAAAGAGAAAGTAGAAACTATGGTGAAGGTCAGAAGAAAAAGTAAAGGTGGTGTTACTACAGTCTGAATGTTATCTATCCAGGCCTCTACCAACTGCTATCCAATTTATTTACAGTATTTTTACAGTGTATCTCTAGATATTAGCTGGTCTGAACAGACTTGCAAGTCAGTGTAGCTGATCAGTTCTAGTGCCTGATCAAATACCCCAGCTCAGGCCCTGTCTCTCGTCTCACACAGCGTGGTGGTTCTCTTGTTTGTGTGCTTGCCCTCACCCATGTCGCTGGATGTTCTCTGCCCTTGAAGAAGGGGTTGAATAGATACAGGCCAAAAGGCCCTTTTTCTACTCCTGGTAGCTGACTTGGGTAGAGTCTTCCAAATAGAAGAGCAGATTCTTCTTGCTGCACTATCCACTCCAGTGAAGGGACAGTAGGGCAGAAAGTAGTGATACTAAGCTGCAATAACAATTAGCAGCACCTGGAAGAGACGTAAATTAATATCACAGGTAAATCTTGCCTTTATTTAGACACTTTACTTCCACTTTATCTTAATGTGGCTAGGCCAGACTAATGTGAAAACCAGTGCTGGTGCTAGGGAAATAGGGGGAACATACGGTATAGTGAATACCTGCCAAAGGTATTCAAGCAAAGTCTTCTCAGGGCTCAGATGTGTGAAATCCAAGGAATGCTTTAAAAATGTAGATTGAGCGGTCGCATATGTAAGCATCATGTAAACACTTCTTGTAGGATCGAGTCTTCACTGAGGTGATGTGATGTGGTCCCTTACATGTTCAGAATGCTAACAAAAAACATCATCTGTTTGCAGGTGCTCGGCAATAATGTTTGACTGAATGCCAAGATGAAAACACAAAAGTCTTTTTACTAGGTATAGTAAAAAAAACCTTGCTAAACGTAAAATAGAGATTAACAAATGATATTTCAAAATATAATTCTTTTCTGTCCTTTCTGTTCCGGGAAGCAGGAATGTATCATATTGAAGTTATTAAATCATTACAGCTCTAGACTGCTTATGCTTATAAGCCTTTCTGCTTCATTTAGAAAAAGTGATTAGAAATACTGTAGAGACGAGCATATGCTGGCTTTATGTGTGTTCTGAGGCTTTCCAAAGAGCACCGATTTTCTCAGATTAAGTGCAGCCATTAATAACAGAAAATGACTGATTAAAACTCAGATGGCTTAACAACTTAATAATAATAATAATGAAAAATGGCAATTGTTTCATAACTGCATATTGCTGTGCGGTGGTTTGTGTTGGAAAGTGATCTGCATCTATTATCATCTATTCTGCATCTGTTCCTCTGACTCTGAATGACATAAAGCTTATCTGCTATTTTCTGGTACTGTTTTTTACAGTGTAGAAAACTTTTTCAACCTGTTAGTGTGTTTTTAAGTGTTCTTTATTTATAGAAAAAATGTTTTCAGCTTTAAAATAAATCATGAGCCCCTCTGCACTATTTAGATAAAATTACCTTCTGGTTTTATTTTGAAAATGAAAATATATTTAGTCTTAATATTTAGGGCTTTCTCACCATCATTGCATTTACATGTCTATGCCATTTATCATATAAGTCTCCAGTAGTGTACAGCACAGTATGTTAGTTCTATGTTCCATGGCATTAATTGATCTTTACTACACAAACACTTCAGAGAGCACTGGATTTTGAATATAAGCTAATTAAGCGCTTTTTTTTAGGGCGGAAATTGTGTAAATGGCAACCTTTTTAAAGTATATTGAATGCCTTTTCAGACTCAGCAGCTGCACAACTTCCTTTCAGAATCCATTAATGTATCCCACGTATAATACATAAGCATGGACGTGCAATTGGAGGAAAACCAGATAATGACCTGGAAACATTCAGCTTGCTTTTCTGTACGTAGAATTATTCATTACATGAGTTATTTGCATTTAATAATAGAGCAGTTTGCCACCCAGGTCATTTTAAAAGCCCTTCAGTGTTGGTGAATGCGTGATAACATCGAGACTATTTCAAGTCACCCAATATGCATTAACTGGAGGATGAAACACGATGTAGAAACTGTGTCTGTTTGTCTGTGTAGTGAGACTCTCAAGCAATTGCAAACCCACTCAAGGGAGTATTTTAAATTACACTGTGAATCTGGCTCAGGCTCTCTTTGTTTGTAATGTATTTAAGCACTGTATTAGGGAAGAGTGAAAATGTTGTATATAAGTGGGAGAGGAAACAATGCTGATTCCTGAAACCATGTAAGCCCTTTGTATGACTAAGCTCTTAAAATGCTATTGGCAAGTTTAACAGTTCCTGGTTTTACATACATCGATCATTTCTCTTCTCTTGGGGGTAAAATTCTGTTTATTTTACCAGTGCAGAAATTGCTTTGTGATTCATTAGAGCTATGGACATAAATAGTGAAAACTTGATTTAGCTTTTCACAGCTATATTGTACATGCCATTCTTTTACCCCCAAGAGGTTTTTCGCCACAAAAGTTTAACTGATGTCGTGAGTGGATTCACAATTTATTCTTATGCTTATTGCATTTTAAAATATGTTTCAATTAGGAATAAACAACAGTAGAATACAAAAATCTAATCTTTCTGATCAAATCACCGGGAATTGAATGGAAGTTCATATGATTGTCAGTCTGACAATTATAGTAAACTGATGTTATTTGCAGGTTTTTATGGTGGGATGAAAACACTCAAATGATGAAAATTGTCCTGACAATGTCATTTTACCTGTGTAAATTGTGCTTCACTGTGTTTTTTTCCTCTGCTTACTCAGTGTGAAAATGATACTCTATTGTATTTGACATGTTGCCGTTTGACCTGATGTTGATTTAAGCTTCTGGAAGCTCATATCAGCAGGAGGTCACAGACAGGCAAAGTCAGTGAATCTAAAAATGGTTCAGGGAAAAAAAGAGAGAGAGAGAGAGAGAGAGAGAGAGATTAGGCTTTATTTGGGTTTAGATTATCTGGAAACAAATAAACAGACAAGAATTTGGAGAAAACAAAATCATGTTTCTCATCTGATTGGTAAAATCATTTTATTAAATGATACAATTTACGTCTCTGGCATGCACTCTCAGTGAACTGTCCTTTGCAGTGAACAAACAGCCTTTAGAAGTGAAAAGCCTTTTATAAAGATAGTACAGTCTTTTGCTGCTAGGTAGAAATGCAGTGTTCAATAGAGAATTGGTTGTGTTAAAGCAAACCAAAATGAGAACTAATTATGAACAAGAATCGTGAACATCAATACCTAACATTACTAAAGAAATGAAATTTTCACTTATACTACATTTTCAAATATTCTGCATATAGCAGATAGAACTGCGAGGATGAACACAGTTCTAGCACAAATAACTTTTTTAAAAATATCACATATTTCCTCAGATTTGCTGAGAGATCTGTGCATTCACAAAAAGCAAAATGTAAGAAATACATGTAGTAATATATTAAGAACTCGCGCACAACAGAAGGAGCTATATGACAGAAAGATGCTTTCAAGTGGAGGAGTAGGATGATGAGAAGGGTGTGAAAAACACAGCATGATGCTTCATAAGCACAGTGTGGTGCTTTGTATGCACTAGGATTTCAGTTAATAGCCAGAGTGTACTGCTTGTCTTCTAATTAATACATTGTCTGTATCTGGTTTTAACCTGATTTCCTAAACAAGGCTGCATGATCTGTCTGCATGCCTGTATGTCTGTCCAACCTCCCATAATAACTTTGAAACTGTTTGTTGGTTTTGTGTCTGCAGAACAGTGGAATAGATCTCAAAGAAAAAACATTGCTCACAGGCTTCATAAAAATAAGTAGCTGGGTAGAGGACAGATACAGTTAGCAGTGTTGCTGTTGAGGAAAATGCTACAGTGGAAAGCCATTTCTTATCAGACATGAGAGGATCCATGTGGGAAAGAAAACTAGTAAATCCCCAGTAGTCAGAAAAAAAATTCTCTTGTAGAGCACATTAAACACCAAAATGAATCTATGATAAGATATAAATCTACAGGAAACTCCTTAATTCTTATGTTCTCGGAAATATTGATAAAATCTTTCTTATGCCTACAAGGAAAAAGCAAGGCCTTTTTTCCTTTTTTGCTCCGTACATTGGCAGAATGTCAGTTATTTTGTCTGAAAGTCTCTGAATCTGCAATTTCTACATTTTTGGTGTATCTTTGTTTTTCAGTGATGCTAAGACAGCTTAAAGCAGCCCAAATGACAGTAGCTCAGTGACACATCATTATCTGCCCTGGCCTGTGTGTGAAGGATCACATTTGAAATGATATGTTCACTGAACACTTTCTTGAAACATAGCCAATCAGTGAGAAAGAGGTGCCTAAAAAGTGAGGCATTCAGAAAACTTGAATTAGCTTTAAATATCAGAACAGCTCCTGCTGCAGTTAGTGGGAGACTTCTGAATTCACTGAAAATTCTGATGTGTTAAAATTCTGACCTCCAGGGTATGCATGAAAAATTACCTTCTTAAAGCTTGATCGTAGATATATAGGCACAGGACTTTGTTTTCCCATATTGCTAGATAATCACAACATTAAATCCTTTTTAATTTCACTTTATACCATGATATGCTTTTTTTTAATATTAGAAGTTAGTTTGGGTAATTTTTAGTTACATGTACCTTAATACTACCCACTCATTCCTTCTGTCATATGTAAGACGTTAGAATTCATAACATTTTCAGTGAAAATTCAAAGATACATTCGTAATTCTGTGAATTAAAACAGTTGCACTTGACAAATATGTCATTTTTCATTTACTGCAAACTCATTGATCTAGTTTCCAGTTTAACAGTGTAAAGGATATAGTTTAAAACAGAAAGCTGGGCTTGGAATCAGGAAGTTGTTATAATAAAATATTGACCTTGGTTCAGCAAAATATCTAAATATTATATAGTTTTCAGAATATCTGTTATCCTACTGAACATAATGGCATATGTACATTAGCTTTAATTGAATACTTAAGGCTGTGATGGCATAGAATTGTAAAACGTAACTGCTACATCTCAGTTATGCTGAAATCGGATGGAAACCTGATGTACTTCCATGGAAACAGGGCTGGATCCAGAGACAGGCCTTTATTGTTAATGGACTATCGACGCCTCATTGATTTCAGTGAGAATATTCACAGTCATGATAAGGAACACTGAACAGCCTTACAGAGAAAACTGTATTTTTGCTTCAGGGACAGGAAAATTTACTCTGTTTATGTGGGTATATGAATCTAAGATGCAAGGCTGGTTTTCAGACGTAACATGTTAATCTTCTTGTTGTAATTTTTCTATCTTTTCTTCACAATTTCATAATTTGTGAAAGAAATTTGTAAAGTGCAATAGCAATATACTACATGCAGGTGTTCATTTCCCTCTTGGTCGAAAGGAGGCTTGCTATTGATGTCAGAGGGACTTTTGCTTGACTAGAGAATTCGTGAGTTCCATGAGGGGAACTTCATCATGGTCTTACAGGAAGTTCCAACTTAACTGGACTTGGGGTTTTACTGTTAGAATGGAAAATTGTTTGCAGATGAGAATATTTCATATTCTTTTGTTTTATTGAATGTATCTTCTAGCTTTCTTTCTAAATTAACCACTTTAAGTTGACAACATTATTTTAAATAGGACAGTTAATGTTTTTTTCTACAAAAAAAAAATTGTTGCTTGTGGTTGACAGATCTTTGACGAATGACGAGAAGGGTGCAGAGCACTTTTTAAAACTTGGAGTATTCATTTCATTTCTTAATAACATCTGAACTACCCAGTAAGCTTGAAATACATATATTGGCTACATATTTGTGTTGTTTAAATGAGATGTAAATGCAAAATATCACCAGCCAGAATTATTTACTGTCTCTACAGATCCATCAAGACATAACCAACCACAAAGTATTTTCTTCTCCTACTAGACTCATACCATATAACACATGTCATAAACCTTCTTTCACATATCAGCTTCCACACAGGACAACGAACTTGATAAACACAGCTCTTTTACGTCTTCCAAACTGGGAATACAAATTGAGAGCCTTCTACACACTGAGCTATGTAGATACTAAGAATGACTGCCCAGCCAGTCAGTTCACTAGACACTGTAGCAGTAAATGTTCAGCAACTAGTATATATCACAGAGAGAGAAAGGCTGTTTCAGCCTCTGAATTGTTCAATAGTTTATTACAAAATTAACTTGCAGTCCACTTTAAATGCAATCTAAATACTTTTCTGATCCCTCTTGTATTCCAAACATCACAGTCCTGATCTCTTATTACACTTCTTCCTTGTGCTCAGTCGAATTGATTAGTTACAATGTGCAAAACTCCATCAAAACTATTTTGAAATCCATCTGCAATTMATGACTGAGATTAGCATACATCTACATGTTGGAGAGGTTCAGGTGCCATAACCATAATTTAAATGTTTCCATAGCAAAATTATTAATTAATGAATTTTCTTAGTTATTTTAAAAATGTGGTGAAGAAAACATATGGCCAATAAACCAGTGCTACCAAGTGCTGTACTTGTTGGAACTTTCTCATGTCTGAATCCCAGCTTGAATCCCAGCTGTCAAATATATCCAGAGAACCTACAAGATTCTGTAAAATACTTCTTGCTTTTAAAATGCCCAGATTTTACATTCTTTTCTTAGTAACTTCACAGCAAGCAGTTGTGCTGTCTGCAACTATATCCACCCTAAGTGTTTGTGTTGATCACTTTGTCCCATTCTCACATACGCGCACCCAGAACCTTACAGTTTTGCTCTTTAGAAAACAGAACAACCCTAGGTTATGAGTAAAAGCACATCCATTCCAGGGTGCGAGCCTACAGTCCTGTGAAAACTGTGCTGTTCTGAATTGCCTCTTCAATTCTTCAGTTCAGAGATGGTCAGGCCAGCAAGACACTTTCCTTCTCCAACTCAGATCTAATGCTTGTAAAGCTGAATGAAGGGAAAATTTGCCAGGTCGTCTTCTCGTTCRTGTTGAATGCATCCGTGCCTTGGGCTGTGGAATCTGCTGTTCACAAGTAATAGTCAGACCGGGAATCCATGGACATGGTATCGGGATCTGTTCTGGACTGCTGGCTGAAGTAAGCGTACTGCGGCTGAGAGCCACCGGCGCTTGGGGCCAACACGGTGCCTTTGTGGGGCGGGACGATCATACCCAGCTGCCGTCCCCCAGGTAAGGCCGCACCGCCGCTTGCGACCGGAGCCTCTGCAGAAGCTCCTTGTTGCCATTCATCTGSTGGCTCAGGAAATGTTTTCCTGCGAGCTGCTGACACTACGTTAGCTGCAATAGATTCTTCAATATTCTGAGGTGCAAAAGCTTCATCCACTAGGCCAAGGGGGGATTTAGCTGCTGCTTCCCAGGGAGTGGGTCTCTTGCCAGGCCTGTCAGCTGCTGTACCTGGCTTGCTAAAGTAATCAGGAGCAGGCTGAAAGGTAAGAGGAGATGTTGGGGATATGGCTCGAGAAATGACTGAAGAAGGTCTCCCAGGAAGTGATAATGAGCGTCCACTGCTTCTTCCCTAGAAAAAGCAAATTGCCAAATATAACTGCAGTCATTAAACAGCAAGAATGGAAGCCAGTTCTTCACACTTTGGAGCTGAAACAACAAACCCAGAAAGCATATGTGCATATGACAACTTGGCAATCCCTTTTTTTAACCTACTGGTACTGTTACTTTTTAATGCTTGAATTTAGTGGAAAGAAGGAGATATTGCAAAGGAGGAACAGAAAGAAACAGGAACAAAGACAGAACAAACGGGGTTTTTGAGGAAATTAAGTAGACTAATGAAAGGTTTCCACTCACTGAAAAGGTACAGCTATGTTAGCAACCTTACAAGTTTATTTCATCTCCACTACAGAGCTAGTATGCCTTGTTCTGAAAAGGCCATTTTTAATAATGAAAAAGGAAGTCATGTTGCAGCAGTTCTGTATTTGTTTACAACATTCTGTCAAACATTCAAGCACAGGCTGAATTTATTTGATTACAGGCTCTGTCTAGGACATCTGTCCAAGAACATATTTTTGGCAATCTTTAAGAAAGGCATTTCTAACTCCAGAATTATTAGACTTACCCTGAGTGGAAAGAGAAGAAAAATGAACACAAACATTAAAAAATGTTAATGCMATCATTTACTTAATGCCCTTACAGGACGGTACTTAACCTGGCTTCTTTAAAAGGGACTGCCCTCAAAATTTCAGAACATTCTGACCCATTTATAGGAGCAATCCATTCATATTTGACAAATCCTAATCTTCTTAGTAATGCAGCACTTTGAAACAGAAACTCTGTTCATGGAAAGGTTTGCCCACAACAGTCTTCGTTTGGCAATATATGAAACAAWTACAGCCTGTGCCCCATGCCAAATATGTTCCTTGTGTTAGAGAAATTATATTTATCTTACTGCATAGCCTCTATGTGCCTCTATTTCCCCTTATTCATATCTTGAAGTTTAAGAATTGCCTTTAAATCTTAGATGAAATTCACATCTCAGTTACCAAAGACTTGCGAAAATTTCATTCCAAAAAAGTTAGTCTCATGTTATTTTTTTTCTAATTAGCTTCCAAAAATTTAAACATTATCACAAGATCCACATACCAGGGATGTCATGTCAGGATGTCAGGTATTTGATCATACAAACTATAGTTTATCTAGCAGTGATTCACATAAAAATACRTGTTTTAAAGGCTTTTCCATCACAAGACCTTGAAGCATTTAAGAAAACTAAATAACCTATACTTCGCACAAACTTTTAAATTACATTTGGTATCATTCCCTTATATGTGGGACACAGAAACTCAGAAAGAGGGAAMCTACTGGTTTCATAATTTTCAGTGCATTTGGTGGTGTTAAGTCCAAATCTATTTAAAATGTCTAAATAAATGTCTAAATAATACACAGAAGTTGCATAATGGGAGTTTTGACCAATTTATAACTAATKGTTTGTATCAGGGCTGTACTTCTCGCCTCTTAGCTGTGATCGCCTGTTTCCAGCTGCAATTCCACAGAGAAAACTGCCTAACTTTATTAACTATATGCATATACATATGACAAATCTACATGAGGTTCTTCAGCCAAAAGACTTAATTTTGGGCAATACAGCTCAGCTCAATTTTCAGAGTCTTTACTTAAACAGTGAGTTCATCAAACGTTAAACRTACTTATCAGATCATCACAGGCGGGTCCCATCTCTATGCTGTGAAACATCAGCATATAAAAGCAAAAAATGACCCCTCTGGATAGTATGTGAATTAAGAGAATAAAAAAGGATTTGGCCCATAGATACGTGATATACGCCAAGAGGCATTCCTCCATGTATTTTTACTTACCTGAAAAATAAAAGCCCAGATAAAAGGTTGTGCTTGAGGTCAGTCTAATGTATTACAAATTATTTCCTCGTAGCATCTTCAGAGAGTCTTTTTAATATAGTTTATTTAAACTATTGGCAAAAAAAAAAAARATTTTTGAAAGCGGCAAACTCAAATATATACAATGAGATACATTTTCTATTAAAAATTAACTTGATTGCCTGAGCTGTGAAACTACTTAGAAKGTAAGATTGCACAGAGAGACAAAAAAGTCGATAATAGAGGTTGCCAACCTCTATTAGCTGTTCTTGGGAGGGCTCTAGATAGTTGTTTGTACTGGATAGGTAGAAAAAAAGGTTGTTTTATTTAATGAAGACTTCAGTTCCAAGAGAAGAGTTCCAAGCTGAGCTGGTGTTTTGTAGGGTTCCAGAAGTGGGGTCAAATGGAAATTATTCTTTTGAAAGGACTGGTACATAAGAGACCTGACATTTTAAGATTATCGGATGAAGGTACTGTGTTTAGTCTGTCATGTTTAGGGAAAAGATCTATGAGACCAAGCGTCACCAAGTGGCAAAGAAATCTTTTTACACCATCAATGATAAAAATAGGAGTTAATTTTTTTTGTCAGAGCTTGATCTGAAAATGATGAGTTATTAAATGTATTTCACGACTGTTTAACAAAATGGGCCATTCTACTATGTCACAATGATGGGCTCTTGTAAATTCAGAAATAGAATGTAGGAATATTATATGTTCACATTGTAGTGAATTTTAAATGTTTTTAGTACAGGTAATGTTAAGTACTGATAATTTGGAGGATGTTATATCATTTGAATTGCTCCGTATTAAAAAAAAAAAAAAGTATGACTTTACTTTGCTCTGCTCTGAGTGTGATGAACTTGTGATCAATGTGAAAGTCTATGATAGACTTTTTCCAATGAAGACTTCCAGGTAACCTGGAGTAACTGTAGCAATTTACCTGGCGAGTGAGAGACCATGTCAATTTATTTTGAAAAAGATATTTCCTTAGAATTTGGTAAATATGCTTCTTTTCTACTTCAGAGACCCAAAATCATAATATTTATTTCAGACTGTGTCCATTTTGTCAAACTACTATTTGCTTTTGTCACTGCTTTCCAGTGTCACATATGTATTTTTTTTAATTGATCATCTGATTTTCACATGTTTATGTTTATTTCTAGATTTCTATTACTTTGTCTTAATAGCTACCATTTTAGAGACTTCTTTAATCTGGCAGGAAGGTCAGATTATCTATGAAATGATATTTCATGTTCTTGTCGTAGGGGRCAATGTTCAATAAGATCTGTATCACCAAAGATAGTGAGTGATTGCTTTGTTCCGAAGAGTCATTCAACCCACATTCAAATTTGAGACACAGTCTCACTGCAACTCGGTCAGACTATGGTTCTGTCATTTGGGTTATCTCTGCTTCTAGGCTTCTAGGCAGGAAGGACTGCAGAATAAGTTTTTAACTAAATGTAGTCTTTCTGGATTGTGAGAGAACAAATTCTATGAGGGAAAGGGATGAAGTACTTTGCCTACTTAGTAAGGATCTGAAGAAATTTCAGAAATAAGAGATTTTCACTTTCTGAGGTCATACTTACCTCCAGGTGTTCTTAATTACCCTTCTGAATGTTGAGTCTGTTTTTTGATGGAAAGGAAAAGTGGATTAGTAGTTTTTGAAGGAGGAGGATCTTGAAGGAAATAACTGACTGAATTCTCCACATTTCTCAAAGAGAAACAGTTGTAACTATGCTGAAGGTAGGCAGAAGAGAGTTTGAAGACCTACTCAGGAGATCCAAGAAGATAAGATAAAGACTTTGGGGGGTAAGGAGGGCAGTAGCTATTTGGAATAACAGTCTTCCTAAAATAAATACCACTTATTATTGTCTGCACAGTAGGGTAAAACTTTGGGTCGAACTTTGAGCAGTTATAACTCTTTGGATTTGGGAATTTAGTTTCTAAGCCTACTCAGTACCAAAATTGTTCTGGTAGTGCCTGTTGTAATAGGGTAATSAAGTAGCACACTGTATAGCAAAATTCTGTGCATTTGGCTGAACATTAGGCATTGCACAGTGACGTGCTTCTGCGATCATTTACTTTGATACGTTTAGATCCTTATTTCTCTCTGACTCCACTTTATTCTGAAAATGAATAATCTTTGGCTTCAGAACATAAAATCTCCACACTTTCTTTCCCATTCTGTGGTAAGTTATAAGCACTTGTAGAAAAGCATACTTTTGCTCAAATGTACATGTGTCTTAAATGCAGAAACTGAGGGATGATTAATGACTGTTTTCATCAATTCTTGTTATTGGTGGAGACATTCCTAGAATGAAAGTTGGAACATTCCTGAACTGGAGAGATCCATATTTGAGATTCATATAATGATAAATATATATATATCAGCAGTAAATATTCAGCCCCTCTGAGCTGACAATAAACTCTAGTATTTAGGCAGGATTTAATCTCTAGAATTATCATTCATTTACTGGAAAGCAACAACCAGAACTAGTGGTACTCTCTATTATTCCCCCTTCATATTTTATTTTTAGGAATATCTGTTCTACCTTTTGTCTCCCTTGAACTACAAGAAGAATATAGGCAGGAGACAAGAGCTCTTCCATTCTTCCTTCCGTCAATCAAGGGAGAAGGAAGAGTTATATGCTGTAAGAATTACTGAACTATCATGGATTGTATTACATTAATCTTGTTGTAAAAATATTCATTACAGTACTGTATCAACATTCAAGGAGAATTTTTACACCATTTATGCTGCAAAATCATAAGAACACCATACAGAGAATAATTTGTGCTCTGAGCTTTTAAAAAGAAAAARAGCTTTTCTCCAATGACTTTTGGAGAGGAAGCAAATTCTTCACAACCTTCACAACCATATAGAATCCCAACAACTGCTGCTGGCTGCCCAGGCATCTATGTGAAGAGATTTAGGTTAAGCTAGATTTTAAAAATGAATATTTATAAACTGATCAGTGAAACAAACATTTATTGTACCACAAGCATCTTTGATATTTATAAATTGTATATTAATATAAACTAAAGCAAATGTAGGATTACTCCCTAAAGGAACTATTTCAGTATATAAGAAAAGGATTGTAAACACAATACTTTTAAAAGATGTGTGTATCCATATATTTTTGTTTATACATAAGTAGAAAGAAGGTGAATGTGT